TTCCAAGCACGGCCATCCCGCCTCCTGATATACTCTTCCTGCCGTTGAAGTAGGCGCCCAAGCGGCCAAGTCCACCCGACAGGATTCCAGTCGACGATCATCGCCGACCATTTCTCGTAGGCGAGTTGAGCTACCAGCTCGTCCCACTGTAGCTTCTTCCTTCTGCTTTCGGCGAACCGTCCTTCAGTTCTGTTCGCTTTATGTTCTCCCGTCGCGACGTGAAATTCCCAACACTCTTCTTTTCATGACTCTCGGTTACAGATTGCTGGCGCTCTTCGGTTTTAGTGAGTGACCACGTCTCATAGCCATACAACATTACCAGCAGAACCGTAGAATTGAACAGTTGGGAATGGGTTCCTTTCCTGATGTTGCTGAGGAGAACGTCCGTGATGGAATAGAATGCCCGCCAACTGGCCCTTTTTCTCCGTTAAATCTCAGATTAATCATGCCACATGTTGATCTCATGCCCTGGTAATTTGTTTATCGACTTGTTTGATCTTTTCACCGTATAATAATACCTGGGCTTTCAGCAGGGAATTTGATCGCAGCATTTTTGTCTCTGTCCGACTGACTCACAGTCTGACTTCTGAACTGTTTCTCTCAGAATTTTGCAGCATGTCTAATGGCCACACCAGCGTTTTCCGCAAACAACACCACGTCATCAGCAAACCTTAGATGGCTGAGCTTTTCACCGTTGATGTTGATTTCACCCTTCCAGTTCGTCCTCCGGAACACCATTTCCAAACGGACAGTGAAAAGTCTGGTAGAGATGGTGTCACTTTGTTTCACGAACTTCTCTACAGCAACTCGGAGATGTCGAACAGCGTGATTTTTGTGAAGCAGCCAAAGTTCGCCTCCTTTAGAAGGTTTATATAACGGGTGTCGATGTTCTGCCCTGCCAATGCAGTCCACACTGCGTCGAACTCGAGAGTGTCGAACGATTTCTTGTAGCCGACGAAGGCTACGCACAGTGGGCTGAAATTCCCTCGCGCGCTCGAGGAGTTGACTAGAGTAAACTCAGTGTTATCTGTTGCGCTTTGGCTCCTTCGAAATCCTGCCTGTTTTCTCGGCTGCTATTCGCCCAGACTTTTTGACTGTCTGTTGTTGATGGTCTTAATGAACAGCTTGTAGAGCAGGCAGATATGGGATAGTTCATCAGATCTTCCTTTTCATAATTCTTGAGCAACACGATAGCTTTTGACTTTTTCCTTTTTTATAATATCTTTTCCATTTCCGGGTAGAAACTGAACCCCTGCAAAACAGGTTAGAGCCCTCCAAACCGTTTGATCATTTCAATCGTCAGATCATCTAAACCTGGATCTTCCTTTCTTCATTTGCTGCGCGGCATGTCGAACTTCGCTTATAAGGACCGAAAGTGCACTTCTTTATGGCTGTTGGTGCGATGGGTGCGATGGTGTGAGGGAGGGGACCCGTGTCATTGACGCAAAGATCTGGGTGTAAAAGTTCTTGCAGGTAAACTGTATTTCAAGTCTGTCAGACGTTAATGCGGCATCCCCGGTTTTCAACACAATAGTGATCGAATGTAAATGTGCTAACTCTATCCCGTATTGTCTGAGGCTTATGCCGTCCGCTGTTTTTTTATCTTCGCAATCGGAGGGTCTTATAGAACTTCTTCAACTTCCATGTAGTGAGCCTACCAAGAAAAGAATACTCCACTGTATCGGCCTCAACTGTCTTTATCCTCCACCGTTTCTGTAGCAAACTATTTGTTTGCTTTGAGATCCTTCCTTTCGTGCTTTTTAATATTGCCACCTCGACTGACTTTACGCTGTAACTCAGTTCTTCAGTAAACTTCTCGTAATTGTCATCACAGTTGCCTTTCAGGTTCCAGCCTTTGCCGGGAATGCGCCATTGAATCACTGCTTCGTCATATACCTTCGGTCATTGTCTACGATTTGCAGTACGTCCCTTTTGAGATTCTTAGCAGTCACTCGAACGCCGAACCGCCGCCGTGAACCGGGTCGATCGAAGCGCAGGCTACTGAGGCCAATTTAGTCGTTGCGTTAAGTTTCGCCACCAGCCGGCAGGACTGATGGTGGTTTGGGGACTTTCATGCAGACGGGTCCCCAGTCCCGTCCGGTTTTTTTATACCAAAGTTGTTTCTTCTAGCTTTTGACGAACCGACGTCTAACCGCAAGGTAACGGTGACATTGACAGCCTTTTTCTTTAAATGGGCGGGTCGCTCTTGCCTGAACATGAGATTGGGCATTGTGGCGAATCGATATTGTTGAACTCGAATACAGCCACGCTCTAGTGATCTCACCGTTACTTGTCATAGCTAACTTCAATGTCTAGAGGTCGGTCCTCTGTTCGCAGTTCGGGTACGCGCCAGATGGCCTTGAGGT